TGGGGGGGGGGGGGGAAGTGAATACTTTAAAAATGCCAGGAATCTCAGAATTCCCAAATAATTGAGTTATTCACTTGGTGAACCAGCATGTTCTTTATTGCTTTTCATACACTGACTCAAAATCCAGAATACAGATTCTGAGCCGTGGAATCCAGACCTAACAACGTCCTCTGAGCCTGCTTTGATGCGTCGCCATTCTTTTGCATGTGTTTACTTGCAACTGTTTGGTGTGTATTTCTGGAATGTGTGGAGGTGGGGGGGGGGGCAAACTAATGCCCTTATTAGGGGAGGGAGGGAAAAAAAAAAAAGGGGAGGCAGCTCTTCCATGTGATCTGAGGGGGAAAAAAACCCAGCCCACCGAAATGAACCGAGGAACCTGTACAGGAACATCATCAGGACCAGCTTGCACGTAAGCAGTAAGAAAGCCACGGGAAGCACCAATGCTTCCTGTCCCTCTTCAGTCAACCAACTCTAATCATCTTCCTTTCCTGACACAGAGCTGAAAATGGCTTCAGTAACAGATCTGGTGAACAATTCCTTCAGTTGCACTTCCTTTCAAGTAACTTCCTACTTTTTCCTTGGAAACTTCTCTTTTCTTTTGAAATCTACCTCCCGAGTCCCACCTAGCTTTGTTCCTCTGCTTTTCCCATTCCTCACCTCCGTGTTTCCCATTTTCCCCTTAGCTGTTCAACCTAGTCTCCAGCACCTCTTCTCTCTGTGCCTAGCCCACCTTCAGTTTCTCTCTACTGCTTTGCACTGGCCCCAGGGAAATACATGGAAGCAGCTCCCAGTCCTGCCCAGACACAACCACCTCTGCCAACACCAGGCTGAGGGCAAAACCCAGCACCCTATGCACCTGACTCCACTTCAAAAGAGGAAGTGGGGGAGGCAGGTGTGGTGTCAGGCCAGAAGCAGGACTCGAACCTGACAGGCCAGCTCCTTTGCAAAAGTCGCTTGGGTCAAAGCCACCAAGGGGTCAGGCAGGCCTGTGCCTCACAGAGGTGAGTGTCCCTGCCCAGGCTGCCTTAAATCAAGCTACTGCAGGCTCTTGAGTTCTCTGCATCCTGAAATCACTTCTCTCCCTTTCTTCTCTTACATTTATATCTCCTTAGGAAAAGATGTTCATCACCCGGGAACAGGGTCAGGTGGGGAGAAAGGGTCTAGACCTGCTCCTTCCCCCAGCACTGGGAGGAAGAGGGAAGGCTGTGGGTGCCTCCCTGCTGTACAAGCCCTGCTAGTTGAAACACACTGCTCAGGGCGTTTGCAGCAAAAATTAATCTGGCCACAGACTAAACTTGCTTTTCTTGATTTAAGTTAAACCACCTGAAGTCTGAAATTTGGTTGGGCAAACAGCTTTTTATTTTCATATCTTTGTTTTGATGCCAAACGCCCAACACAGTCAAATTCTGCCACTTGGCACAAAACACTAAGACTTACTTACACAAAGCAAGTTAATGCTCTACAATAGGGGCAAGGGGCCTCACCTCTCCTTTATATTACCATATGCTCATTAAGTGCATGCTGCAACTAAACAAGAGGGAAATTTAAAGGCAGACATCACAAACAGGGAGTAAGAGAAAACAGCTCCTGGAGAAGAGAGGATTCTTTCACAGTGCAGTAGCAGCACTGTGAAGACTTAGGTTATGGGATTTTTTTTGGGGGTGGTGGGGGGTGGTGGATGGTTATGGTTTCTGGGTTGGTTTGTTTGGTTTTTTACATAATAAATGAAGAAATGCAGAATCTCAACCTTTATGACATAAGCACATATCCTCAGCCCTGGCTACAACTGGCCTATTCCAAACAAGAATTGTTCAGCTGAATAGAGCAGGGGGGAAACAGAACAAGGCATCAACACAGAACACGAGTAAGGTACAGTGCTGGGGCATGTGCCCAGAAATCAGTTGCTACTTCACCATGTGTGCAAGATTTGTTTTAGAAAACAAGTTTACTAGTGCAATAAATAATTCTAAACTTTGACTCCAATAATAAAGGACATGAAGTTTAGTTTTATTCAGGATGCTTTCTTGTTTACCATTCATTCCAACGAATCCAGGGATACACAGAAGTGTTGTTTAACAACTACAAATGCCCTGAATTGCTCTATTTACTGTTTCCCTTGTTCCTCTTCACTGTAAAGCCAGGCAACAGAGATAGCAACAGCATCATCACAAACGGAAAAAACCAAAAAACCAAAAGAATAATTCCCATTAAAAATTTACTTCAAATAACTCAAGCAAAGAACTTGTGTCTTACCTTTGAGACTTTTTCACTTTTCATCCTGCTGCTTTCCAGTACATTGCAACATACAGGTAGAATCGGTCACTAGTTATTCCCTTAACCTGTCCTCTCCGTCATAAGCCTTAAAGCATGTGTTATCCAGCAGAGAAGCTTGGCTCTCCTTCCCCACTTAACCATCACCCCACCCCCAACCATGCTTCCCTTTCTTCTTCTGGGATAGGGAGACCTTCACTTCACTTTTGAACAGCTGAATTCTCCTCTCTAATAAATCCTCAGCATGCAGCAGACAAGCAGACTACTATACCAAAACAACTGTTTTCAAGTAGGCAGAGGAAAAAAAACAGCTTTAGGTTAAGCAAACCAATATGAAACTGGCAATCTGATTTAGCACCTCTGGGTTTGGCATTTGTGAGCACAGCTTTGCTACCCTAATTTAACAAAATCTTACACTTAAGAGGAAGTTTTTTTTATTGCTCTGAATTCTATACCAAGAAATCAGCAACAAAAAAGACAAGCTTTGTTCAGAAAAGTACTGATTTTATTGACTCAAACTGTATTTACACAACACATTCATTATGTTCAATATCTTACAGAACTCTGTAAAAAACTGACTAATAAAACTGCAGGAGCCAAACTGAGTTTCAGACTTAAAGACACCGAACCACGAGTACATTTTGAGATATTTAAGTGGGTGTCCAGTTTCACTGTCACCTTACAAGGCAGTTCTCTGTAGACAAACTCTTTCTAAAATCAAAACAAAAAGTGGAGGGGGGAAAGGATCAGATGAAAGAGCCAATTGTTCTGCAAAGCTAGTACTTTGTAAGACCAGACTTTTGGCTAAGCATTCAACAATGCATTTTGTTTGATTTTTTTTGGAAACAGGTCATGTACAGGTACACTTCAGATGAATAATCAAAACCCCTAATTTTTGTAAGCTTACATACAATTAAAAAAATTAACAAAAAAAAAAGATGAGTGCCACAAAGTTTGTGCATGAATCTGAACGGTTTCAAAGCTTGAGAGGCTCAGTTCGGGCATTCCACTGCAGCTCAAATCCAACGTACGTTTCTTCAGTTGATAGATTAAGGATGATCATCTTTTACCAGTGAACTGATGATATCACATATGTAAACTGGGAGCAGAATATCCTTATCTCATCATAAGAGATTACTCTTCCACCCATCCCTAATACAGTTTGGTTGAATA